CCGGGGAGCCTCCGCGTATCTAGGGGGGGGCTGCCCCCCCCCCAGCCCCATTTGGGGGGGCGTTTGGGCCCTCACAGCCCTGCTCTAGGGGGAGATTTGGGCGATCCCCCCCCCAGGCCCCATTTGGGGGGGATTCAGCCACCCCAGCCCCGTTTTGGGGCGATTTGGGCCCCCCCCCAGCCCCATTTCTGGGGGATTTGGGGTAACTCGGGCCCTTCCCCAGCCCCGTTTTTGGGGTGACCCGGCCCCCCCCCCAGCCCTGTGGGTGGATTTTGGGGTCCTTTAGCCCCACCGGGGGGGATTCGGGGACCCCCCCCAGCCCTTGCGGGGTGACCCAGGGCCCAGTTTTGAGGGGATTTAGGGCTCCCCTGGCTTGAGGTCAGGGTGATTTGGGGCTGCCCCCCCAGCGCCTTCTGGGGTGACTCCAGCCCCCCCAGCCCACTTTTGGGCCCGTGACCCCCCCCAGCTGCATTTCGGGGCTCCGTTCCCCCCCCCCCCAGCCCCATTTTGGGGCATCTCTGGCTACCCCTTCCTTGTTTCACCTTCCCTCAGCCCCATTTTGGGGTGCTCTCCCCCCGGCCACGTTTTGGGGCACAACCCCCCCCCGTTTTGGGCTGCGACACCACCCTAGACCCTATTTTGGGACACAAGTTCCCCCTTCAAACCACGTTTTGGGGATCCACCCCCCCTAGACCACTTTCTGGGGTGCAATACCCCCCGACCCCATTTTAGGGCGCAGCCCCCCCCAGGGCCACATTTTGGGGTGCAATCCCCCTCTCAAACCACATTTTGGAGCACAAGTTCCCCCCCGGGGCCACATTTTGGGGTGCAGTCCCCCCCTGGGCTACAAACACCCCCCCAACTACGTTTTGGGGTGCACTCCCCCCCTAGGCCCCATTTTGGGGCTCGATCCTCCCCATAGCCCATTTTGGGGCACACTTCCCCCCCTTCACCGTCCCTCTCCCCATTTTGGGGTGCTCTCCCCCCGGCCACGTTTTGGGGCTCGATCCTCCCCATAGCCCATTTTGGGGCACACTTCCCCCCCTTCACCGTCCCTCTCCCCATTTTGGGGCGCACCCCCCTCCCTTC